TTACCAGCAAGCACCATTTTCAGCATGCTGTTCTTGTTTTCGGCGGACGACAGAGGGGACAGCTCCCTCTCCTTCTCTCTTCCCCGTTGTGCTCGGTCGCGGGAAAATACTCCGCAGTTTCCAGACAAAGTTTACTAATACATTTTTTTGATGGTAAATTTACTATTACCTAGCAAATTCCAGAGAGCCCAGGGCATTGCCTGGATGTCCAACTTCAATGGGTTTGATGGTTAACTCTAAAGCTAGTGTCATTTGACGTCAAAGTTAAAAGCACCACGCTTCACACAATGAATTGTTTGAAACTAATTGTATGTGAAAACTGGTGCTCTATGTACCTTCAATCTTTATTGAACATTTGATTTTTTTTTTTCAGATTACAATGCAGTGTTTTATACTGGTATCAGGGAAACTAATCTGATCATATTCCATTCCACCTTGCTTTGGTCATCAGCAGCCATTAATTGAACTAGTCACCCGATGAATTGGTGTAATACAAATTGTTACAACATGAACAATAAAAATGTTTTCATATTGAAAAGGTCTCTTGTTATAGTGTGTATTAGGTCAAAAATATTTAGAGTTCAGTGTTGAAATGCACAAAGTGAATTTCTTAAAAATATTGTTTCGCTATATCTGATGTCAAATGTAGTTTTGTTTTATGGTGAAAGAGAATTTATAGAAAGGCAAAATGTGTGGGTGGGGGGAGGCAACTCTCGTTCACTAATCTGCACATGCCTTTCATTAAAAGGCAAATAAGTGCTGTCATTTTATCTATAATGATAAACTGAATATGAAATGATGCTGCTGCATTTTGATCTGTCGTATGCTCTAGGAATGCACATCTATCCCTTGCCCCACATGTGTGCCTATTGTAGTGACATTTGCTCGAAGTAATTACCAGAACCTGGGGAAAAAAAACTTTCCACAATGAGTTTTGAGAATGTAGCAAATTTAAAAAGCTATGCAAGTAGTCTAATCAAAAGCAGTCCTTGTAAGTTGCAGTTTAAATGCCCCCTGCTCCAGATTGTCTGATGTGAACTGGCGAACGCTCCTCAGAAAAAGAAAAAAAAAAGCGGAAGCCGCCACATCTTGCCTACAGCAATTGTCTCAATGTTTCAGCTGTTCATATAGGAACACAAATTGCTTTGGAAATGGAAAATTGTACTGCCGTTGAACTATCGATAGTTTTGTCCATTAGTAATAAATGATGAATTACCAAATTTTGTGAAATGCCATTATTTGAGTTTTGTTTAGATTCTTTGCATGGAGCTTGACAATAACAAAAGGCTGATTATTTGAGATCCCTAAAATGATGCTTGTTTGCTGTCAGTACATAACAGATACAACATTCTGTTAATTGCCAGGAGTGGAACTAAAATGATACCTTAAAAGGTACTTTTATCTCGGGTGTGGGTTCTGTTTAAAAATTCCTTTCGTTTGATATATTAAAAGGTAAATTTTGATACAATCAACCTTTGTTTGGAAAAAGATGTTACGTGATGTAATTTAGCGTTAATCAATTGAATCATTCCCCCCCTCCCAAAGACAATTATCCCCAAGTTTTTCCTTCCCACAGAAGGAGTCCTCTCCAGGTGATGCTGACATTACATTTATGCATGTTATGAGGTCACATGATCATCTGACATGTTGGTCGTATCTCTTGTCATATGCCCTTGTTGCACGTCCTAATCTGCATCACATTATTGCAGAGCATCTATGTAATGCGTTTCACTGCAATTCCTGAGAAAAAGTAAGAAGGCTTAAAATTGGTTAAATAATATGCAAATTAGGTCAATAAGATGCAAGAATTTCAACCCC